GCATTCCTGGAGCCCACCCTTGACTGCTACAACCCACTCTCAGTCTTCAACGCCAAAACCCCCAGGGAGAGGTCTAGTAAGTATCATCCCACAGAGGTCATCACTGATGTGCTTGAAGAAAGCAGCGGGAGGGAAGGCCACGCAGGCAGGGACAGCAGCCTGCAGCACTGTGGCTGGTTCACGTGGTCTGGGAGGGGCCGGGAGGTCAGAACTGGCACCATGTGGCACGTCTCCATCTTGCTGGAAAAGTGGGCACAGGCAAGTGCTTTGTTAGCGCTAGACTTTGGTTTCATCTTCTGTAAAATGAGGAGACAGTGTAGTTGATTTCTAAATCCCTTGCATCCTAAAAATTCAGGTTCTCCTGTCTGCCCTGGTCTCCGTTCTCTTTCTGCACCTGGGGATATCGCTGCCCTTTACAGTTCCTCTCCAGAGTGTCAGTGGGAGGGGCACAGCTGCACTAATAACCCCGTTACACTCTTTTTTTCTTTTTCTGGTACGCGGGCCTCTCACTGTTGTGGCCTCTCCCGTTGCGGAGCACAGGCTCCGGACACGCAGGCTCAGCGACCGTGGCTCACAGGCCCAGACGCTCCGCGGCATGTGGGATCTTCCCGGACCGGGGCACGAACCCGTGTCCCCTGCATCGGCAGGCGGACTCTCAACCACTGCGCCACCAGGGAAGCCCTCGTTACACTCTTCAAGTCCACAGACAGGCCGTGTTTCCAAGGATGATAACCACGTGTTCTCCATCTTTGGGGAAAGTAAAGCAGAGAAAAACACAAGAAGGAACTGAAATTCTACAAGAAAGAGAATTTGACAGGAGTGTTGATGCACTGAGTTCTAGAACAGTGGTTGGCAAACTCTGGCCATGGGCCTAATCTGGCCCGCTGCTGATTTTTGTAAATGGTGTTTTATTAGAACATGGTCACACCCACTCATTTACATGTTGTCTGCAGCTGCTTTAGCACTGTGTAGGGGAGGAAAAATAATTTTCCCTCTACCCTTCATCGCTCTTGGCTGAGAACCCCCCCACTAAAAACAGACAGAATGACAGGAGAAAAACAAACTTTTACTTATGTACGTATATGTACATAAGAGAGCCCCACAAAGATATGAGACTCAAAAGCCAGCCCAACAATTGAGGCTTATACACCATCCTGATCTAAGGAAAGGGTCAGGAGTCTGAGGCTTCAAAGTGGGTAGCGATTCATGGGAAAGTGAGAAGAGGAAAGATTTGGTAAACAGTTTGCCCTGCCCTGCACGTGAGTCTTTCAGATGAAAAAGTAATCTCGGGCAAGAGCTCTCTTCTGGTACAGGCACTTGTATCTAAGGTAAACTTTCTTTATAAATGCAGATTTTCCTTACAAAAGAGTAATTCTGTTTTCAGACACTCTCCTGGGTCTGCAGTTTCTTAAAAATAATCAGCTCAAAGTAATATCTCTGCCAAAGGGGCATATTTGGGGGTGGCCCATTCTGCTCCCCTTCAACTGCAGTGACACAGTTGAGTAGTGGCAGCAGAGACTGTCTGGCCTGCAATGGCTGCCATATTTACTGTCTGACCCCTTTATAGGAAAAGTTTTCCCACCCCCTCTTCTAGGATAACCTGGAACTGGAATCCAAGGCAGGTGGTAAACCTACTTCTGGAGGGTAGAAGAGAGAGTCCCCATGTATGGATGAATTGTGATCCTGTCGAATGGCAATGGATTAGAACAGAGGAGCTTCCAGCAGGAACCTTGAATGAAGCTTGGACTCCAACCGGAAAGAACTACAATGATTTGATGCGACATGAAGCAAAAATTACCACACTATGGGTCTGATCAATATTAAGAAAAACAGACCCCAAAAAATCATAGTAAACCATTTCTAACCAGAACCTATCCTATTCAGAACCAATATTTTCTTAAAATATTGATGCACAGTACCAGCAGATGACTAGACTGTGCATTTGGTTCAAGCCCCCTTTTCAAGCTATCATGGGTCCTAAGGGTTCTAGGAGAGGAAAGGTTCCTGTCACACTTTTCTCTGTCACCACTCTTCTTTCCGTCTAAGAATCCAGAGTACTAATAAGCCTTGGTGGCTTTATTCTCACTTGCTTTCATTACTTCAGATAAAAGAAGCACATGACGCCCAGAAAGAATGACCAGGACAATTTAGACAAGACTGTTTAAAGTTCTCTTCCTGAGCTAGAATACAGCGGAGACCAGTGTTCTCAGAGCTCGTCGAGAGAGAAGCATTGCCGAGGTGCCTCCACGTTCCAAAGTCTCACGTGAAGTCTCTCAGTTAATTCCCCAACCTCCTTAGCCTCCTCTCACCCTTCCTCCTCTTTCATGGACTAGGAAAAATATAGTTCCAACCTCGTTTTTCTCTGCCATCTCATGATTCCGAATGAGTCACATCTTGCAGCTAAAGTAGGAGCTGAACAACTGAGCAGGCTTTGGCAAAGTTGAGGAAGGGCTGTGACATCTGTAGGCAAAAGCCAGCTAAAATGTTGCTCCCCAACTCCAGAGGGACATGGGTCCAGTCATGACCGTGCTGGATACTCACACGTTTATTCTGCTCCAACTGTGATTCAAGAAAAAGTGTGTCTCTGTCTGTGTATCACCAACGTATAGAGCTTGCACCTGGGGAAAGAGAGAGACCTACTCTGCTCTTGAGCTCCCAGAGGTAAGCCTGTGCGCCACAACTACTGAGCCTGCGCTCTAGAGCCCGCGAGCCACAGCTACTGAGCCCACACGCCACAATACTGAAGCCCACTCATCTAGAGCCCGTGATCCGCAGCAATGAGAAGCCCACATACCGCAAGGAAGAGTAGACCCCGCTCACCGCAACTAGAGAAAGCCCGTGCACAGTAACAAAGACCCAAGGCAGCCAAAAATAAATAAAATAAAATCTTAAAAAAAAAAAAAAAGAATCAACAAAGACTGAATGCTGACCGTGTGTATGGCTGTTGAAAAGTAGAGTGTACGCGAATATTTATTCTGGGATAACCAGGTTTGCCTGGAGCCAGAGAATGACTGATGGCTTGATGGAGTCTGAGAGGGTAGACTTCATTCATTATACAAAGTAGGTGGCCTGAGGGACCACGGAGGGAAAGGAATGTGACAGATGATGTGACGTGACAAATGATGTGAGTCTTTGGTTGAGAAATACAATATGAACTGATTTATCAAGGCTTCAGGCAGTTGGGCATCTCTATTAATTAACAGTTGGTGTTTTGCCAGCAGAGTTACTCATATTAGGAACTCTTCTATCTTGTAATGTCCTGGAGCATTTTCTGACTCATCCAAAAACTGGAAAAGGTTTAATACTGTTATGTGCTAGATAAAACTAGATAAAATCTTTGGTTATGTGTGGCAGTGGTCTATTAATCAGAATATTAGATTGACCAAAACATCCTATTCAATCCTTATTGGAAAAATCAACCAGAGAGAAAGGAGGTCCAGTCTCCATGTAAGCTGTCTGCCTGTACTACAGAGACGGTGCTCTCTGATGCTGTCTTCTCGAGGGAAGAGCTGCTTGGTGAAGAAAATACTACTTTGGAATCTAGCTCAGTGGTTCCCAGTGGTTCTCAGACACTAGCATGTATTAGAATCATTCGAAAGGCTTGCTAAAGAATGCCAAGTCCTACCCCTAGAGTTTCTAATTCAGTAAGTCTGGATTCTGAAGGTCCTAACAAGTTTCCAGGTGATGCCGCCACTGCTGGTGGGAGGATTTCACTTTGAGAACCATTGATCTAGCAGATGAAAGGCCAGTGTGTTCTAATGGTCCCCTCTTACATTCTTGTGTCTGATTCTAATAGGACCCAGCTGAGCTGTTTTTCAGGTCGATAACTCAGCAGCATTCATTCTGCGGGTTTATTATGTGGCATTTGAAGAACAAAACAACACGTAAATCACAAATGTTTCTTCCCCTTGAGGACCAATTACATATAAATAACTTTTAAAGGTCATTGTAATGACTCCAGTGAAGCAACCTCAAGCAACTCTGTGTTTCTCTTAGGTAGGAAAAAAAAGTGTCCGTGATGATGTATTCTCTGTGTGACATTTAAACACACACACTCCCTGTGCCTTCTCACATATAATTTTACAACAAACAGTTGTAAACTTCAGTTGCATCTGTGGCAGTTGGCGTTGTTCTGTGTGCAGAGCTCGAAGGTAGAATGTTTGACTGTACTGTTCGTACCTATTGATTCTGACACTGTATGTGTCAAACGATTTTGTTTGTGAGAGCCTCCCCAGACGCCCATGTTGATGTCACCCCCGATTCTTGCTGCTCTGCAGCAAGGTACAGGCTGGACTCGTTCTCTGCAAATGACCAGCATTGGCAGTGGATGGTGTCTAACCTGTGTAATTCCCTTACGCTGTAAATCATAGGAGTTCGATGTTCTTTGGCCTTCATGCTGCTAGTCCTTTTGAATTGTCTGGATTTAAAGGACACTGGTTCACTCCTAACTTCCAAGGAAGAGAGATCTGTAGCCTTCTACCTGCCAAAAGGCCATACCGATAGCAACAGAAAATCACAGTTAGGGAAAGGGTGTTAGCACCTCACAGGGCCTGCTCCATAGCAGGGAGGCTCTTCCGAATCACCCATCACTGTGCAGCTGCACACCATCTCCTAGAACCACTTGTAACAGCTACCGATTCATTGTCTCCAAGGCAGCCAGGATTATTCTGGATCTCTGCTCCAGGCAGGACAATTATGACAGAAACCAAGACAGTCCCTTCAATTGGCCAATATTCCTAAAGGCCAAGGAATTTGCTGTGGCCTCTTATTCATTAACCCTTCCATTCCTATGGACTTAAAACCTAGAAAAGAGAGAGACTTCACACCAGCAGTAACCCCATGGCAAAGCGCCTGCAGGCACAACCCAATTCACTAACGTCACATTTTATTTGAAGTTTCTGCTTTGTCCTTTGAAATTCATGAGAACTCTACACTTTACTTCTAATATCAAAAAGAATTTCCTCAAATCTTCTAGTGGATCTAATAGGCTCCACTAGTGGATCTAAAATGCACCACATTTTCCTGTTGCTTCTCTGACTCCCTAGCCCCGCTGGTGTCTGACGCTTCGGCCCCACTGTGAGAAGTTTGGCCTGTGGGTGGAGTCTGCAATGAGCTGCCTCCCAGGCCCAGGTGGACCCTGGGGGCTATGACATAAATGGACGCTCTGCAGAGCTTTCGGCTTGTGCTTCTTTTCAACCATGCCCCGCCCTGCCACTCAGAGCCCTTGTTTTCGTCTCACCCGTCAGGAACCTCAGGATGTTTCTGGTCTCTCCTCCTGTCTTGGAGGGAAAGAGT